CCCCCCATTGTAACATCTTGCAAAACAATATCGCAGCTAGGATATTGATATTAACACATTCAAGATACAGAACATTTTCATTCCTCAGGTTGCCCTTTTATAGCTATACTCACTCCCCCAGCCCCACCTCTAGCAAGCACAAATCTATTCTCCATTTCTATAATTTTGTGAAACATTTTAGAAACTTTTCTCTGACAGTTGGCATCTGGGAAGAAAAGACCATTTAACACATGTAGGGTTGATGTCTTGTAGGTGACAGCCAGGTATTTTTAGATGCATGTGCTCAGTGTTGCCTGTTTTGCTGTGCCAGGAGACAGTGTGGGGTCCTGAAATCCAGATTACTGAGGTGTTAGTACTGCAACTATTCTTGCCAGAAAATGCCCCTGCCAAAGGTTGATGGAATTTCCCCGCCTGAATTACACTACCTCTCCAAAGCAGGCCAAAAAGTGTCCTCAGTGGCAGAGTATTTTCCTGACACTAGGCTAGTCAGATACTGTCTGTAGCCCTAGTAGCTGTGGAACAGGTGAAGGAAGTTGTATTCTCCACCTGTCAATTTGTTGTGACTATCTACTGATGAGTATTAGGATTGCGAACTCTCCTTTTCATTCCATCTCTGATGCTTATCTTTGAGGCTGTGCAGTTCTGCTTTGACCCTCCCTGTATTGCACCTGGAGCTTCTGGAATGCCACAAGATGCTGAACAGTTCTTACATTTTCCTTCTTCCTGTCCATCAATCTGACTTTATCTGATTCCACTATAAGAGTAAAAGCCATTGCTATTTTTAAACAAGCAGGTGTGCTATTAGAAGACTCAGGAATCATCTGATGTCTACATTGTGTTAAACTTGCTCTTATCTGTAGCTCAGCTAGCACAAACATGTCTATTTTAGGACATGATGTAATAAATCCAGTAGAGGAGATATTGGAAGAAATTGATTTTTGTAGGTATTTATAGATCAAAATAGTTTGTAACAGCCCTGTCTTTGGCATAAATCAGCTGTTTCAAAATTTTTTTTATTGCATAAATTAAATGTTATGACTTAAGTAAAATAATTATGGCAAGAGATCGGGTATTTCAGACATATTAGGGTACTTCACACAGTTCATGGAAAAAATAGAATTAAAACGTAACACGAATTTTTCCATGAACTTTTTGAAAACCTCTCGTATTATATTGCACTTTTTAAAAATTAAACGGTTCTAAATATTTTATCATCCACAGTCTTAAATTTCATAATAAAAATAATTTCTACTTTATGGATATAAGAATTGATACACAGAAAAATTGAATGGACTTATAAAGCCATGTCCTCATGGGGTGGTAACAAAGGAACTCATGGATTTCTAAGCTCCCTGCCCCCACTTCGTGTTTTTCTTTCTTTCGTGTTATGCCCAATTTTAACCTTGTTTGCAAACTGAGGAGTTGCTAACAATTTTAAGGAACTATGTGGGTGTCTAATGTTCTTATCTCCAAATTTTAATTAGCCAGTTGAGTTGTGAAGAGAATAGAATGTATGGGCTTTGGGTTCTGGGATCATACGCAAAATAAATTAGTAAGATAAACTAGTAAAACAAACGTTTAGTGAGAGGGGCTGTATGAAGCTTGTTAGTCATATTTGTGTTTTGTTCACAAATGGAGAATAGAATGTATGGGCTTTGGGTTCTGGGATCATATGCAAAATAAATTAGTAAGATAAACTAGTAAACGTTTAGTGAGAGGGGCTGTATGAAGCTTGTTAGTCATATTTGTGTTTTGTTCACAAATTTATAACCAACAGGTTGGATTGATAATGCTATTCATATCTTCCATATTCTTATTGATTTGCTTATTTCTTCTCTTTTGTCAGTTATTGCTTCAGGTATTTTAGAATTCTATTATTAGGTACTACACATTTAAGATTATTATGGCTTCCTGAGGGATCTGACCCTCTTATCATCATGAAATGACCCTGTTTATCTCTGGTTATACTACTTGCTTTGAAGTCTACATTGCCAGATATTAATATAGCCATACCAGATTTCTGTACATTCTGTTTTTTTCCTCCACATTTTTACTTACAACCTGCCTATATCTTTGTATTTAAAGTGCTTTTCTTGTAAACGATATAGTTGGGTTTTGTTTATCTTTTTGACAATTTCCTTTCAGTGGAGTGTTGAGCATTTACATTCAGTGTAATTATTGTTATGGTTTATTGTTTATGGTTGCCATCTTGATATTTTTGTTCTGTAATGATACTATCTGTCCCTTGTCCTTTTGTTTTTCCTTTCCTGTCTTCTTGGGTTAATAGAGTACTTTTTAAGTATTGCGTTTTGCTTTATAGCCTAGCTGCCAAGTTTGGGTTGGTGGGGAGTTAACCTTGCTCTGAACTCTACCCCTGGCTTTGTGTGTCTTGGAAGATCTCTATCTTGCTGCTCCCTGACTTTGCATCTGGTGAAGGCTCAGTGCTTCTCAGAGGGATCTCTTTTAGCTCTTTGAACTGTTCCCAGTCTTCAGTGGACTGCTGCTTTGTACTCAGCAAGGGCCCAAGGAACTTTGGGAGGATCTCTCAGCCCATCTGTTCTGTCCTCAGCACTTAGTGTGTGGTAATTGTGCACAAGGTGAAAGCTCTGTGGGAGAGAATTGGCAGGTGGTGTGGAGTTGCTCTTTGCTTAGGGATCCTCAGAATTCTAATTTCTCACATCAGCAGCTAATTAAAAGTTTGTTCAAAGTTCAGCTGGTTCCCTTTTTAGAAAGTTTATTTCTTCTCCTTTCAGAGGTGAAAGCAGCTGTGCATCTCTTTTTTGGGAAGGGATTGTCTGCCTATGGAATTTAGTTCATTTAGGTTTCTTTGCATCTCAGTTGTGATGGGTTTTTAAAAAAATCTATGATTTTGTGACTTATCCAACTTCTTGTAGTAGGCTCTGATTATTTTTAAAGCTTATATTTTAAAAATTATATGCCAATAGAAACTTTTCAAGCATGTACAATTAATGTTTTTTGCTTAGTGGTATAATGAATGGTAACTTTATAATATGGAATACCTGAGGAATCTGGTAAAAAGGTTAACAAGTTAGTGAATAAAGACATTTACTTTGGATATCCAGTCACTGGTACTGCTCAGGTCACACATTAATACCCATAATCAGTCTTATGACCAGTAATACACATTTACACAATGGTGGGCTAGAGCCGGGCTACAGTTTATTGATAAGGAGCAGAAAGAAAGTACAGTGATTGATTATGCAGCCTTGCCTCATGAGCATTTATACAATCTTATGAGTGAAAAAGAGATGCAAATGCATTCATAGTTAATGTGGCTTATCTAATTTACTTTAGAGCTATATACAATGATTTGCTCATAATCATTAAGATAATTTTGGTTATGTTGATAAAAATAAAGCTTAATTTCTACATTTCCCAGTAATGTTGTGAAAAAGACTTTATGCCCTTCTTTTTTAGGTTTCATGTCTTGATTACATTCCTTTTAGTTTGTATTTTCTAAGATTCCATAGAAGAATTTTGCCTGGGTAACTGAAGGCTTAACTGATGCTGTGCTCTGAAATCCAGGGGTGACTGGCACACAGAGGAGATTCACATATTAAATGGCCAACAAAAGTCTAGGATCTTTTGTTTTTTGTTTTTAAATGTAAATTCTCAAACATTAACGTAGTAAGAACAGAATACCCATGCTGTCAATAACTATTGACACAGGTGAATCTTGTTTTATTTATCCCGCCCACCTTATAAAACATTTATTTATTTATTATTTTAAAGCCAATCCCTAATGTTTTCCAAATAATATTATGCTGATTTCTAAAATTTTGAATTTTCATTGCTTTTATCTTTTGCTCTCAAGAATATCCTAGATATATTCATAGAGTATAGGATGACCTATGATAAAATTTGTTCTGGGACTGAATAATTTGATAAACACTGTATACATGATCACCTTATGGTGATTTACAGTGTAGGTTATGATAAGCGAAGTTCTGAGAAGTTTGGCAATAAAGAGTTAACTTGGCTTACCCAAGAATTTCCTAAATTTATTTGACCCAAGAATCTATTTTCTATGTAACATCTTTTAGCCAAAATACATTTTGGGTGATGTTGTTCTAGGCAGGTGAATGCTGCCTGTGAAGAGCAAAAAAGAAATATTTAACTTCATTTTTATTTCAATTAATTAGATAATTATTTGTCCATATTGCATTATCATCATAAGCAAATACCTATTTTTTGTTTTCCTACAATCTGCTTAATATTGATAATGTAGTGTAACTGATAGGTCATCCCCCTCAGGATCTTCTGTTCTGAAAATCTTTTACCATATTGTATAAACAAAGTAACGAAGCATTTTTTTTCCTAGTAGATAGATATTTGAGAGCGCCGAATCCTAACCACTAGACCACCAGGGACGTTAGATAGATATTTGAAAAAAAAAAAAAAAGCTATACATCAAAACTTCTCCATAAGGAAAGATAAATACATTGGTATTGTATTGAAGAGGAAGCTAGAAATAAGATGTGCAGAAGTCAAGGGAATACAGCCCCGAATACAATAGTGAACAATTAGATTGTATTTTATTTGTGAAGAATTGGTTAAAAATGACTTTAAAGAGTTTAAACTTAGGCAGTAGTATGGAAACTTTCACAAATGGTTTACATTAAAATACTCTCAAAATTTATGTATTCTTATAATATATTCACTGAAAAAAATGTAAATAACAGAGCCAAGTGGAAGCTAATTGCCCAACAAAGGAAACAGTTTTCCACCCTGTCCCCCATCTCTGTTCACTGTGACATGAATGACAAGGAAGTCATGAGGCACTGATGCTCTAGGGGATCTGCATCTCATCCTCTCTAATGTAGCTTAGTTGACATCTGCCCCCTGCTCCCTGTCCCCTGTAACCTTGACAATACTCCGGAGGGGATTCATTGTTGCTTGGGCATCTTTTGTCTTTATATTGCATTGATGTTGTGGAGATGGCTCTTTTCTCTATGGTGCTACAAAGGTAATTTTTCCCTATTACAGTCAAACTACAACTTCAAGCAGAAGAGAGAGGGGTTGTGTCTATCAAAGGAGTATGTGCGAACCGTTACCTTGCTATGAAGGAAGATGGAAGATTGCTGGCTTCTGTAAGTAATGCTTTCTGTTTTTGCAGTTTTTTTCCTGTTAGCTTTTATTGCTGTTTATTTACTAGCACTGATATTTAGTAAATCTTTATTAAGGGCTTTACATGTATACCATCATTTAATCTCCATATTCACTGTATAAAATATTCTCTTTATTTCACAGGTCCAAAAACTGAAGTTCTGAGGGAGTAAGTAAAGTAACCAAGAAAACACAGCTCATATGAAGTAGAAACTAGATTGGACTTGGACAGTCTTTATTCAAAGCACGAGCTCTAAATCACTTCACTGTACTCTGCAAAGCTGTTAAACTATATTTAAAAAAAATTTCCATATACTGTGCAGTTGTTCAAAGATTGGTGGAGATGGATGTGTAAAATTTTGATTATCAGTTTTTCAGTTTCTTCTTTAGAATTTTCCATATACTGTGCATTGGTGGAGATGGATGTGTAAAATTTTGATTATCAGTTTTTCAGTTTCTTCTTTAGAATTTGACATACAAAACACTTGCAGTATAGAATACTAGTTGAGAATATGGTTTTTTACCCTGGGTACAAATGTTGACTCTACCACTTATAAGTTGTGTGTTCTTGGGCAAATTATTCTGAGTTAGTTCCCTCAACTGTAAAACAGAAACAATAATGATCCTATCTAGTTGGGTTTTTGTGAGGATTTAATTAGACACTATATATCAAGTGCCAAAATCAATGACACATAATAGATTCTCAAAATTGTTACTTCCTCCTCATGTTACTTCTCATTTATATATGTCACAATGGGGGCTTTTCTTTTTTACATTTTATCACAGCTAGTCAGGCATCCTAGATCCTGGCTAGTATTCTTTCCGCTAGTGCAGGCTCCCTGTCAACTTCGCCATTATTATCAGAACCAGGATTGTACATCTGTTGAGCATACCCCATGCGTAGGGAATGGTGTAAGAAAATAAAGAAGTCTAAAAGACACAGATCACCTTCCTGTTTCCTTGGGGGAGTAGACGGGACATGTATGTAAAAGTGTATGTGTATACCACAGCTATTATACCAATACGAGTGGCCAGTTTAAACTCTATAACTTTCCTCACAGAAGGGATCTAATAATACTAAAAAATCGTGGTGTTTTGAACTGTACAGATATTTTTTGAAATGTTTTTTCTGTACGAAGTCCTTTGGGTTTTCAAAGGGTGCCATAACAGATTTAGAGAGAAAAGGATATTTTCACTCATCCCAATTTCATATTGATTATCTGAAAAAGAAACAGTTATGTTGATGTTACCAATTAATGTTGATTTTTGCAGTATAAATAGCAAGTCCGGATGCAGTGCGGCTCTCAATTTTGTGGGGAGGAGGATAGTTGAATAAATTGTAGAATCCTTTTCAAGAACAGCCAATACTTACTGAGAGTGTGCAGTGTGCCACATGCTGTGGTAGGCATTGGACTTATAAAACTGAATATCAAATGACCTCTGTCTTTAATGAGTCACAACCCAGGGGAGGGCGAAGTGTAAATAAGTACTTGTAATACTGTGTAAGGGTTTTCATGAGTTACCTCTTTATTTTGCGTACATGCATAGTAATATAGGAAAGGATTAGAAGTATTATGACATAGGAAGTAATAAAGGAAAAGAAGTGATTAAACTTGCCTAGAATTGGGGGAGATGACTTATAAGTAGAATTTTAGATGATGTAGAGGAAATAGTTCAGTAGGCAGTCAGGGAGCACAAGGAATAGAGATGAAGGTATGGATAATTCTAGGACATAGAACATGCAAAGGCATGGATGCAGAAAGCTACTTGGTATGTCTCTAGAATTACAGGAATTCACTAATGCTGGAGTGTAAGTGCAAAGAAAATACAAGGTAGGAGGGAAATAAGATTGGAGAGGTAAATAGACTGCCTGGTGAAGGGGCTTATACACCATGCTGACTATAAGCAGTGGAGAGCCATGAAGAGTTTTAAGAAGAGACCTGTTTAGTTGAATTTGAGAAAGGCCACTCTGGCAACAGTGCAGAGAATGGATTTGAGGGGGCCAAGACTGGTGGAGAGAGACCAGTCAGAAAGCCTCTGTAGTAGTCCAAGCAAGTGATGACGAGAATCTGGCAATAACAATAGGACATAGAAGACTGAGTAAAGTGCTAGCATGTGTGATTGATTACATTTAGGTTTGAAGTTAAGGGAAAAGTTAGATGGCTTCCAGGTTTCAGGTTTGTATGAGAAGGTAGATCAGAAAGGTGAAGGAGAAAAAGAGCACATTTTGGGAAAAGGTAATAAGTTCACAGTTAGACCTATTTAGTTTCAGTTGCCTAAGGGAAATTCAGGTGAAGATGTTCCCCAAGTAGTTGGAATTATAAACCTGGAGCTTCGAGGCAAGTTCTTTGTCGATATATGGATGTGAGTATCATCAGCATATAGGTGGAAGTTAAATCAGGGGAATGGATAAGTTTTTCTAGGTAAAAAATATAGTTCTAAAAGATGGACTACTTGGGACTTTCACTTCTTCCACTCTATTCTTATCTTTTTTCTACCAATCTGTTGTCAAGAGGTGATGTAATACTTGGGAATCTACCAAAGTAGTATTTTAAATATTTCCCAGGATGGTGAATCAATATGTAATTTTAGATGATCTTGATATTGTAGTGTAGAGAGAAGAAGAGAGGTCCCAACCACTACCCTTCTCACCTTAGGAAGTGACAGATCGCTGTAGCTTCTGCAGTAGTAGTGTAGGTTTGGCTACTGACAGTGAGAGTGGTAGAGAAAAGAAAGGAGATGCGTACAACATTTGCTTCTGTTATAACTAACAGTGGATAACACTAGTCAATGGCCTTTTCTACGTCTGTCTTAATCTGGCTCAGTGCTTGAGATTAGTTTTTATCGTGTGGTCTTATACTTATGATTAGAAGATTCAGTAACCTAATAATCATGATGGCCCTGTAAGATAGTCATTGGAGAGGCTGTTCATCTCAAGAACATAGTCTGGAATACTAGTATGGTATATCTATAGTGATAAAAAGCCCTGTAGTTGTCAAAAGTGATGAAGACAGAAGCTACTCTACCTAAAGTGCATCTCTTAAACTACTAGGATACATAAAAGAGGAAACAAATTAAAGAACGAGAGAAATGTTTACAGAATTTTCTATGAGTTAGAATTCAGAGAATTCTGACTTTTTCTCTTGGCAGATAGGCATTAAGCTTCCTAAACTGTTGATTTTGTACCATGAAGCACAAAGTGCTATAAAATAAATAGTTTTCTAGTTTCTTCCTTAGCTAAGCAGGAACATTCACAAGATTAAGGTCTAGCATTTATTTAGTCTTAAATGTGTTTTTATCTCCTTGGATGTGTTAACTCTTCCTGATGCAATAGATTTCCACCAAATTGATGCAGTAAGAATTAATTCAGCAATGTTTAGAAATTTATGACAAAATCTCTGTAGGGATAAAGCCACAGCTGTTACAAATAAACAAAAAGTCAGGATTTATCAGTTTCCTTTGAGGAATGGCACCATAAGATGTTACACTTCCCTCTGTGTAATGGAAACGAAAAAAAGGAAAGAATTACTCAAAGCACCGTGAATGATACCTAGAGGGACTGCAAAACTCATCAGGGGCCACAGCCTCGATTCAAAATTAGCTTTTCTTTTTATTGTCAAGACAAGGAAGTTTCACAAGAAAAATCAGTTGATTCAATTATCAAATAAGGACATAAAAATAAAGGCAGTGTTACAGAAGTTAATTATGGCTAAGTATAGCTTAAAAAACGGAAACTAGTAACATCAGTAAAAGTAACAATGTGACATTCCAGAATGCAATTTGTGAAAAGCTAAATCGATCCACCAACAAACAGCTTGCCCTCAGCAAACATTTTCTTTTCCACATATTTTCCTACAGCAATTACCTTAGCATATTTAAACAAGAATCAAGCAGCTTTCTCAACATATCTTAACAACAATCAGCAGGTTAAATAGTCAATAGTCCTTCCAGCCAGAATGGGACCAGCGACCTAAAATATTCAGAGTACACAATCCCATCCCTGAACAGTGATTAGAATTGATTAGATGGGCTTTTGCCAAGCTATCTGTGGACTTTGGTCCTCTGCTCAAGGGCTTTAGCCCCATGCATGCATTTAGCTAAGAATCCTATTCTAAGATCAAAGGAGAATCAAGATTTCTAACCCCTCAACAAGACCCAGTTGTTGTATCTTTTTATATTCCAGTTCCCATCATAGGACCTATTCCTGCCACACTCTCAAGTTAATCTCTAGTCTTACCATCCAATTTGTGGTTTGCTGCCATGCGTTTTTAGTAGCAATCCTATCTCTTTCAAATTCTTCTGGGTGGGCTGTGTCAAGCTTCAGATAAAATAGTAAGTGCCCCCACCTCAGAACCAAAGAGGTGGTGTTGGTGCTTCAGTAAATGCCATATTTCTCTCTGAGTCAGATCCATAGACATCGAACTGTCAACATTAGCAACTTAGGGCATTAGTCCAGTGTTCTGATCAGTAGCCATTATTTGGGGATACATATGTGCCTCATAACCTGGAGAAACTGGGATTTATGAACTTGCACTTGCCAAATGCATAATCCTTCCTACTACTCTTTTACCTGGCTCCATTTCAGACTGCTGAGTTATGGCACATCCCTGGATTCTTCTGCACATTACTCTGCGTGTGATTCCTGCAGTGATTTTTAAACATTCTAGTTTCCTCTCAGAAAGAAGAGTACTCTGGATACCAAGTACTCTGGATACTCTGGTTTCTAAGAGTTATGGTAGGTTGATTATTACCAGTTAGAGTATGAAAAAAGACTAATTTGTGTCCCATTTTTCCCGCAGTGCCATCACATATTAATGGTAAGAATGCATTCAGGTTATAGATTTCTTGATGTTTGAAAATACTTCTTAAGGGTCTTTTTTCTCCTTTCGAAGCTGGGAAATATGAGCATTCAGAGAATAACTATATTTAACTGTCCAAGCCTATATTTGGAGGCTGAAGTTGAGTAGTTTTTTAATACACAACA